TCAAATGTAAGCCATTCTATAAAACTAATGTTGTTTTAATTCAAATATTGTCAAAGCAAATTGAAATTTTAAGCCGGAACATGTGCTCAAAATGGGCTATTCCATTTAATATCCGTACACCCCCTGTCGAGGATACATGTTTTTCATGGTTATACCCCTGAAGAATTCCAAGCTCAAAACCTTTTACCCCTGAAAAATTCCAAAATTCCAAGCTCAAAATCCTTTACCCCTGAAGAATTCCAAGCTCAAAACCTTTTACCCCTGAAGAATTCCAAAATTCCAAGCTCAAAACCCTTTACCCCTGAAGAATTCCAAGCTCAAAACCCTTTACCACTGAAGAATTCCAAGCTCAAAACCCTTTACCCCTGAAGAATTCCAAGCTCAAAATTCTTTACCCCTGAAGAATTCCAAGCTCAAAACCTTTTACCCTTGAAGAATTCCAAGCTGAAAACCCTTCAGCCCTGAAGAATTCCAAGCTCTGAAAAATTTCAAAGTCAAACCTCTTTACCCCTGAAGAATTCCAAGCTCAAAACCCTTTCCCCCTGAAGAATTCCAAGCTCAAAACCCTTTACCCCTGAAGAATTCCAAGCTCAAAACACTTTACCCCTGAAGAATTCCAAGCTCAAAACACTTTACCCCTGAAGAATTCCAAGCTCAAAACACTTTACCCCTGAAGAATTCCAAGCTCAAAATTCTTTACCCCTGAAGAATTCCAAGCTCAAAACCTTTTACCCCTGAAGAATTCCAAGCTGAAAACCCTTCAGCCCTGAAGAATTCCAAGCTCTGAAAAATTTCAAAGTCAAACCTCTTTACCCCTGAAGAATTCCAAACTCAAAACCCTTTACCCCTGAGGAATTCCAAGCTCAAAACCCTTTACCCCTGAAGAATTCCAAACTCAAAACACTTTACCCCTGAAGAATTCCAAGCTCAAAACACTTTACCCCTGAAGAATTCCAAGCTCAAAACACTTTACCCCTGAAGAATTCCAAGCTCAAAACCCTTTACCCCTGAAGAATTCCAGGGATCCTCGACAGGGGGGGTACGGATATTAAATGGAATAGCCCAATTCACGAATGAAGATAGTAAATATTTCCTTTCGAAATTGCTCTATTTATATATAAAACATAACAAAATTCTTACCTGGATGTTTCCCAGTCATCCCGGATCTTTTATCTTTACAATAAGTAATAGTTTCGCTCAATAAAAGCTCTGTATTTAAGCCATTTCGAGCGGAAAGTTTAAAACAAAAAAATTTTAAAATATGGCGTTGTGAATTGTGACGCTATCCCAGAAAGCTTTGCGCGCGTTGTAAGAAAATTAGGCACCAGTCTGTCAAACTGCGCTCGAAGTGCGAAGCAGAATTGCTCATGATTGCTGTCAGAATTGCAGTTAATTTACTTGATAATGAGATTATGCCCTTCCATAGCCTCCTCCACAGCTATCTTGTGTGTAATTCATATTGTTCTTCACCGAGTATTTCATAATAGCGATAGATTTCATGCAAACAATCCGATAAAATGCTGGTTCAAAGAAGAATAGATTTAGTTTAGATTTTTTACTGTTAAATACATGTATTCATCATCATAGCACGAATGTTTCTTCTCAGATTTATTCTGTATCGTATGAAAAAGCAACGCAATTTTGAGAATGCGGAAATGGTGTCTCATAGAACCGAAAATGATTTAAATGCAACATTTCTGATCAAAATCACATAGGGATTCCCCTCCCCCCAGCATCACAGAGAGGAAATAAGGTTACACTGACCCCTTCTCCTATTTTTCAAGGTGACTTTTCCAATTTATTTAATTCCGAGTAGAAATGTCTGGAAAAATTCATGTCTTCGATGTACTTTATAATCTTCGGAACTCTTCGGAATTTCACTCCCAAAATGCTTGAAATCGCTTGAATTCAAGGACCCTAGATTTGAAAATTTCCCCGGGGGTGCATGCCCCGGACCCTCCTAGACTTTTCGACCCCCCCCCCCCCAAAAAAAAATTAAGGTCTGGCTACGCCACTGGTTATAGCTGTACGATTATAACTACAAAGGGTTGAAGTTATTGTCTATATAGGAGAAGTTAATAAATTCAAGTATTACAAAATCTCTCTTCAGACTCGCGTGTTCGCCAAACTTCGATGGGTCATATTTTTCGTTCTGCCTTTTTCCTGTTTTTTCCTGTATGAAATTTGATAAATAGTAATAAAATAGACATATTTTTGAAAAAATACGGAAAAAATAAGGCTAAATAGAGAAAAAATAGGTATAAAATAGGTTATAAATATGTCGGATTCTACAAGGGTTACGATAGTTTTAGTCAATGACAACATTATAGCGATTTATGAGCTTTGAAAGTCAAGCGAGATCTTATATTATCAAATTACACAACTCGGTCTGAACAAAATTATACATAGTCGAGGACCTGTATATGAGTTTGTATGCATTTCATTTAGGACAGATAATCTCAACTGTTTTGGTGTAAAATAGTTTGTACTTATTGACCGAAATAATAATTTGAAATCTACCTACCTAATAATAATAATTTGAAATAATAATTTGAAATCTACCTACCTAATAACAATAATTTGAAATCTGCCTACCTCCTGCAAATGGACGTATTTGGACAAATTCTCCACTTTACTCCGCTGTTTATTGCCGATATCGTTCAAATCCTTCCAAATATGTACGTCAGCTCAGACATAATGGTATCAAACACATTTTAAATAAGTTTTAACTTGGATTCAAGTAGATCATAGCTGTTTAACCATCGACAAGGGAAACCTCAACTTTGTCCAAATTCGGCGCCATTTTGTCATCCCATGTCGGTTGTCAACAATTCGGCCTTGTTATTCTTCCATCCAAACCATTTCGATTGAAGTAATAACAAATTTAACCCTTTATAAGGGTAGGAAACTAAAAAATCTAAACAAAATATAAGAAATGCAGTATCTTATCACCCTGTAAAATGTTGCTCACGAGTGTTTCAAAACATTCCGTACAAATCTCGCGTGACAAAGTAACAGGTGGGGGGGTTGAATAATTTCACGAAGATAAAAGAAGGCTGCGTGAAATAGATTAAAAACTAAATACAATCATACAGTACAAACGTTTGTTTTATTTCTTGTAGCGGCAAATAAATACATATTATATGAACATGTCATACTATAAATAAAATGTTGATTGTTCGTCTTACCATACTGCAGCTGCTATTACAGCGTGCCTTTGCTTTGCTTAAAACTTCAAAGTCTCCACCCCCCTGTCACGTCCCTATTACTTTGCCACGCGAGATTTGTACGGAATGTTTTGAAAGACTCGTGGGTGAAACGTTGCGTTACAGTTTAGTAGGACTGGAAACTAAATCGGATTTTGAACGATGTGAATTAAGCGGAAAACACCACGAGTTGTTGATGTGTTTAAAATGTAATCAGGACAAATATAAGGACAAAATACGTCGGAAATATTACATTATTTATAGTTTAAAGTGACGGTGAATGGTTGCGGGACAATTGGGTTATTATTATTCAGGATTGTGCAACTTGTAAGTTTATATTGGAATGGAGTATCGCTTTATATACACACTGGTATTTGTTTATATTGATAACTATATTATTATTACGGAACATATGTGATTGATATCTCTTTAATAGGATTTGAATAAAGTTTAACTTTCATACGAATCGGCAAATATCCATACAAGAGAATAAGCAAAAGGTTCCTTAAACGCTACAGGTTGTTTCACCATTCAAATCAAGGAGAATTATATTATTTATTAAGATTTCAGTCTGTAGAGGAACATATGGTAACAATTGTCAAGCCTAAATATATATTCATCGTCATTTGTTTATTGGTAATAATAAATGAAGCGAAAAAGGCAAGAACTATTGCTAAATCATCATTTACCCGTAGTGCTAAATCCATCCAACGGCTAATCGAACAAGGACGGCCCGAACCGGAAGTTGTCAAAGCAGGTGGCATATTTGAAACAGCCTATGAGTATACAAATAATGAATGTTTATGAGTGCAATGGTAAGAATATTTTCATGAGGTGAAAGATGGAATGTTCCATTCAACGAGGCGACAGCCGAGTTGAATGGAACATTCCATCTTTCACCGAATGAAAATATTCTTACTATTGCACGAATAAACATTCATTATTTGTTTTATATAATACCAAAAGTCCAGAACAGACTAATAGATTCGTATGAGAAGCATTTTGAGGGATGCGATTTATCGAAAACACAAAGAGTGCAATTGTACTATACGTTTTATTCCATTGCACTCGCGGAGAGTGCAATGGAATGCGTTCCATTGCACTCTTGGGAAATGGAATTTTCTATTCAATATCACGTGACCATAAACAGCCAATTAAACGATTAGAATTTAATAAGGTATTATATAAAGAGTACTATCTAAGCATAAAGGATTTGCAATACTTGTAGAAGAAAAGGATTATGAACAGGAAGAAGAATGGATGGAAGATGTGTCAAAAGAATATGATGCTATTTGTATAATGATAAATGATTATAAAATAACCATGGCTCCGAAGAACAATATTACAACCGATAAAGTGGAAAATCCTGCCAGCTCTCAGGATGTCAATGTGTACCCAAACAACACAAATATACCATCTGGATCAGGCATTGATGAGACTGCAAAATCTGTACCACCAGGGGAAACGGAACCCACTGTTACATTGGAATTATCACCTGACAACCAAGCTGCCGCAACTAATTTTCCCTCTTATGCTGCACCCTCACCCAGTCCAACTTCCATGAAATTGAGAACAGAGAGAGCACCGCTTCCTAAATTTGATGGAAATGTTCGAAATTATCTGGACTTTCGTAGAGATTTCAAATTTTTGGTGGAAAAGCAATACACAACTCAGGAAGCCCTTTATGTTCTTCGTAGCTGCCTGGACAAAAGCAGTGCCGACCTGATAAAATGCAAGGAGGACTACGATGCTGCATGGGAAAAATTAGACCGAGAGTATGGCGACCCGAGAATTGTTTCTGATGTCCTGCTGTCTGACTTGGAGAAAGTAAAGCCAGTGGATGAATTTGACTATGCACACTTTGTTCAGTATCATGCTTTAATTGAGAAGATATTCAGCATGCTGACGAAACTGAATCGACCCGGAGATTTGGATAATACAACAACACTGAGTGCCATGGAGAAAAAATTATCAAGGAATGACCGTCTAAAGTGGGCAGATTACCAAGAAGAAAAGGGGATAACTCCAAAAATTGAAAACTTTCTAAAATGGATGGAGAAGGAAGTACGAAAGAGAAAGATTGCTGGAGCCGACATTCGTTCCCAGAGAACAATTTCTCGAAGTGCTGACAACAAAGGCTCAGTAAATACCATCGCATTGAAAGGTGAGAAGGGTACCAGCACGGACAAACTCGATTCAAGGACTGAGAATCCAGGTGAAGTATTAGGTGAGGGCAACCAATCACCACCACAACCACCACCACCACAACCAACCTTTCAGCATTGTTGGTTATGCAAACAGCCCCACCAGTTGGACACATGCCAACGGTTTCTGAGTATGACCCCTACTGTTCGTCTTACAGAGGTGAGGAAAGCTCATGCATGTTACTTTTGTTTAAAAATTCATCGCAACCCATGTAGAAGAAAGAAAAAGTGCACGTTGTTAAGAGACGGTGAAGCATGCAAGTTCAGTCATCACCCCTTGCTCCATGGAGTGCCATTTGAGCGAATGTCCAATAACAATGTATCTGTCATTTCAGGAGGAGAAAGCCTGCTCCCAACCTTGGAAGTCAGTGCAATAAATTCTATATCCAAACGGAAAGCTAAAGCAAATATCCTGTTTGATGGAGGATCTCAATTAACTTTAATCAGAGAACAATTTGCCCAAAACCTAGGATTGCATGGTGAGAGCATTGGCGTCCGTATAAGTAAAGTTGGGGGGACCGAAGAGTTGCTGCAAACTAAGATCTACACTCTCCAGATTCGTACCCTTGATGGTGGCCCGTTGAAAGCCGTAGCTATCCCTCTGATAAGTGAAAACGTCAGGGCGGTTCGTATTGAGAAGTATGCAAAGTTGTTCAAGATTGAC